TGGAGTGCAATACGAAATCTGTGTTATCAGGCATTGTATAAAGTACGGAAAGTAGCATTGGAGCCGGTGTAGAGTTTCAAATAACACGCTATCTTTTATTTCCATCATCTTCGTATTAAAACCGCCCTTTATTGAGCACAGGATGGTGATGATAGCGATGCTGGGGATTTAGGGCGCGCCAACCACTGAGGTAATTTTGCACCAAAGCACAGGATGGGTGCCCGATTAGCTGCATATTTGCTCTGCATTGTAAAGCCGGTACCTGTTGTGCATGTTTTATTCACTTCTGGCCAGGAAGTACAGCAACTTCAGTTATATTTTTACAGCAGTTAATGGGTGTCAATCTACGATGCTCGGCGGCACGGCGTATTAAACCATGAACATCCCTTGCTCACCTGTGGATGAGTAGAGAAAAGACACGCAGCTACTGTGTTTGGAAACATTACGACTAACGTCTCCAGAGGAAATTTTGACGCAAAAGGTGGACCTGCGCATGACTAAGTGATGCATAATGTTCAACTTTGGTTATGTGCTCAGGTCGTAGTTCCTTTACCCAATTCCTGGGCCCGCACATCGGTGGCATGGTGCAAAATGCATCAACTACAAGGGTGAAAACAAAAGCACGACAGTGCGAGGACCACGTAATTAACATAAATAAGACGGCATGAGGCCAACAGTGATCACTCAGGGCAGCAGCACGCAGCAAGGGCCAACTCATTTCGTCACAGCGCGGTGGTCAGCGTTCCATAATGTCAAGTTACACCTGCTGAAGCCGCTTCCACCAGCCACCGTTTCAAATCAAGCCATTACCTCACATTATGGGACTCTCAAAAGAAGAATACTGGGCCTGTGCCTTCTGCTTCGGGGGGGGGGGGGGGGTGAACATCTGCAGATTGGGATACATGCGATACAGCCAAACTTGAACGCCGCTGGAAACAAAACGTCAAAGTACGTTCGAATGTAGTGCAGTAGGGCACATACGGAAACTTGACTCGCTGATTTGCCATACGAACTCGATAATCATAAACATGACTAATGGTCATTTGGTGAAAGACGAATGGTTACTGGAACCCCTGGTGGTACAAATGAATACGATAGAATCTCTTTCAGGCCTTGGGATCACTACCAGGCGCTTGAAATATCTTTGCTTGCGCTCTGACTGACACATTTTACGTTCAGTTAGAGTACACAAAAGTACCGCTAATGACCCACGTGTATCGGGTCTGCGGAGATATCAATAGGAAAGAACGGTGATTATGACGCACGTTGCTGACAAAGCCCGCTGCAGACTGCACCAAAGCCTTACGAAACGGCTCAAAAATCGCTGCTATGACGTAATGATCGAACCGCCGACAAATGAAAGCAGCAGCGCAAGATAAAATTCAATATAACGACGGCGTAATCGCGGGTCATTAGAAGGCGGCAGGGGGGGGGGGGGCACCTTCTATCGGGATGCAGCGAACGTTCGGCGAGCCCCCCAATGGTTCCGGCTCCAACACAAACAAGGCTCCTGCCTTTGATGGCTGCGGCCGGCGGCGGCGGCGGCGGCGGCGGCGGCGGCGGCGGCCGTCTTCGGAGGATCACGGGTGGCGGCGAGTCCGGCGCTCACCCCAGCAGCGCGTCTCCGCTGACGGCTCTCCCACAGTACGTCACGCAGGCCTCCAGCGCCGGTGACAGCAACGCGTGGATGGGAATGGCGTAATCCGAAGGTGTGTTGCCGGTGATGGGATTCTGAGCTTTGTCAAGCGTGCGTCACAAGCCAACCCCTCATGTTCGCTATATCGACAATTCAATATTGAAGGTCGTAATAAATGATTTGTTGTCATTTCCCACTACTATTTCTATCCACAATCTGCATGATACTGACGGCAACAGTCAGCAGTTTATCTGCTTGTCGCCAGGCATGGCAGTCAGAGCGCCGACATTGCCAATGACCGCACCAGCGCCGCAAGGAGCGTCACCAGATTGTCGATACCAGCACCACAAGGAATGCCTAGGGAGCGCCTGCCACGCCGTCGCCGGCCAAACCACCGAGCTCAGCGATGCCGTCCAGCGCGTGGGGATGCACCGGCCGGCCGGACATCCCGGCCAGCCCGGATTCCGGTCGGGAGTCTGGCCGGGAGTCCAGTCGGGAGTCCGGTCGGTAGTCCACCTCAACCGCCAGTCACCTCCGATCGCGGACGCCGGCTCCGACTCCTGGACAGCTCGGCGCTGGTTTCCAGGCGCTTACACCTTTCGTCGGCCCGAGGGCGGCGCCCGCGGGCTGCGCGGCAAGATGTTGGTCGCCTGCCATCGACGGCAACGTCACAAGGTGTAAAACCATCCTGGAGCGTGTTCAAGTATTTGACGCTGTATTTCGTACGCCCTGACCGACGCGGCTGATCTTGAACATATTACCGGCCTGAATCATGGCCAGACGGGAGCGCCGAGCACGGTCAGGGCAGGCAGCAGTGGCGCCACACCCGTCGCCTGGTCATGCCTTTGCTGACCCGCATTATAAAACCGGATCGGACGTTCACTGCTCTAATACGAAAATCGTGTGATGTCGTTGGTGGTTTCGGGTGAAGCCCTCTGCCATTGCTCGGCGTTGCGCCGCGGCAAAGGTAGCGCACGCTCCAACTCCCCCCAGCGGAGCATCATCAGGTACAACCTGCAACCTTAGCCACAGGCGGGCGCCCCCTTCTCCCTCCCCCTCGCCAGGTCGGGTAATGGCTGGTGTCATGTCAGACGGTCAGCAGACATCAGTCTACGGTGCCACCCCTGCCCCTGCCGGAGGTGTAACGAGCTCACCCCTGCGGTGACGGCTGACACGAGGCGCACGCACCCTTCCTCCCCCAATGCTTCCACGAAATCCACCGACGACGAAAACAAGTGACAAAAGGCCACGCACTTCCCTGACCGAGGGAGCGCCGATCCAGATCACCGTGGGAACGTGCCAAAATGACCGATCGTGACCCGCTAGGATCGCACACGAGGGGAAGGGGGCAGAAGGGAGAGGGACACCTTCAGCCCCTTTCCCCTCACCCCATTTAACGTTCCTAAGTTATTACCTGTTCACAACCCTCCGCTTACCTACCCCTACCCTACAACCAATGCGCCTGAGGGAGACCGGGCTTTTATGTGTTTTGAGCGAAACAATTTAAAACCCGGAAAGACACTGTACATTACGGAGGACATCGCTGGCCTCTGGTCCGCGCGGGCGCCTGTGACATGGTGTGCCTCTGTGCCGTGCCGTGCCCCTGTGCCGTGCCTGTAATGCCTGCTGTGACCAGCTGATCCGTGCGAGCGGTGCTCTAACCGTAAGAGGAAACAGTTCGACCGACCAAGGCCGCGCCGCCGTCGCAAAAACGCCCCGAATCTGGCTCGGCCCATTCAGCGGTCGACAAAAACATGCCCCGGGCGCTGCCGGCTTCCGCGCCGCTCGTGACGGGATCGCGGCATTGCACGGCGCCTGTGCACGCTGCGCCGCCAGATATGATAATGCCAATGCCAGAGTTGGCGACGGCGGCGACAGCAGATGCGTCGACCGATAAAGCGAGCCGGCGCGTGTTCGGTGGCTGATTCTGCCGCGGATCGGGTGCTATCGCCGGCGACCTGTCGTGCGTTTCGTTACACAGGGGCTGGCCGTCCGGCTCGCCGACTGAGCGGCTGGCACGCGGCGGTCAGTGGGTCGCGAGGGCTGGCCGACCACCTCCAGGGCTGGCCGACCACCTCCAGGGTTGGCCGCCCATCCCACGAGCTGACCGCCGGCAGGCAGCGGTGTCGGTGAGAGCGAGGCGAGGAGCGGTCGCTGTCCAATGGTGACAGGGCAGCGGCGGACGGGGCACGGCAAGAGCTGACCGCCGGCAGGCAGCGGTGTCGGTGAGAGCGAGGCGAGGAGCGATCACCGTCCGACGGTGACAGGGCAGCGGCGGACGGGGCACGGCAAGACAGGCGGAAGGAACCTGACCGGGGTCGGCGGATGACCACCTCGAAGCCGCCGGCGGGGGGGGGGGGGCGGGGGCAGGCACCTGTGGCCCGGCCCGCAGGCACCGCCCGACCTCGACGGTAGAGCAGGACCTAGAGCGGTTAGACTCCGTCGTCGGAGTGGCGGAAGACAGAATCAGAATAAAACAATGACAATCACGCGAGCCGGACTTCGAGGCTGGTTGTCAGTCATTTAAAACGCCAAATTGATAAAGTGTCTATTAACGACACGCAAAAGTCACGAGTGGCATGCATCATATACAACATGCTTTGCTTTGGGTATTGAGTTAAAACGCTTTGGCCCACCCCACAACCATAGAGGCGCTTGGCAGATGAGGCATCATTCGTCGACAATACTCCGAATATTGAAGACGACGTTGTTTCTCCTGAGCGACAACGGATGCCACTCATCGATCAGCAGATGCGTGTCGCCAGTGTGCTGTTGCCTGGCGCTGCTGCTCGTACGGTGTACGGTTTCCTCAAAGTGTTACACCGTAAGTTGGCATGACCCCTCCGGCGCGCGGCGCCGGACTCAGGTGGCCAGCCTCAGGTCACCAAAGGCCGGCAGCGGTGGCGTCTGTGCGGCGACCGGGGCGGCCGGGCCGCCGCCGGCCGCGGCGCAGTGGCCGGCGGGGCCGGTGCCGAGCTCCGGGTCCGAGCGGGCAAGGGTCGCTCCGAGCCGAGCCACAGCCGGCCGCCGCCGCCAACTCCGCACAGCCCGGCTGCGCTGCCCGCCGCGACGTGGCGGGGCCTGCCGCCCGCCCCGCGCAGGGTTGCGCGCCCCGCGCCCGGACGGGGGCGCCCCCTGCCCCGGGCGGGCGAGGGGACGGCCGCGACCCTCCGAGGGGAGTCGCGAACGCCCGCGCTGACCACTCGCCGGAACGCGGCGTGAGCGCCCGATCGGCGGCGCCGCCGGATCACAACAATGACACACGTGCATAACATCGGCACGCCCCCAGACCAGCGAGAATCAGCGACGGGGCGGGACCAATCGCGCCGGTAGCGCGGGCTCACGAGCCCGGCGCGCCACCTACCTTCCATCCGGCCGAGCTGGTGCTGTCTCCTTTGTCTTTGAACCAGGGGATGTTGGTCACCATCCAGTCGTACACTTGTGCCAGCGTGAGCCGCTTCTCCGGCGACGAGAGGATCGCCTGCGTGATCAAGTCCGCGTAGCTGTGCGGGCCCCACGCGTTGCGCCGGTTCGAGTTTTTTGGCTTGGGCAGCACGGCCGTGGAGTCGGAGGCAGCTGCCGGCTTAGCCAGGTCTCCGCCCAGAGGCGTGGTGCCCGGCTCCGTCTTGCAGAGCAGCAGGCCGCCACCGTTGCCCGTTACGGTGCCGTTGTGTCCGGGCGAGGGCATCAGAGTCGGTGGCGGCGGTGGCGGCGGAGGCGGCGGCGGCGGCGGAGGCGGCGGCGGCGCGTTCTGGTGGAAGTTCTGCTGCTGTATGTCCCAGGACGACGCCTCGGGCAGGTCGTCCAGCGGGTGTTGGTTCTCTACATAGTCCTCGGGCCGCGGCAGGGGCCAGGTGTTGGCGCGCGACCGCTGCTGCGGCTCCAAGTTTGGATCGAAGTTCTCCTCGCCCGAGATATCCGACATATCGTGGTACTCCACGCTGCCGGCCGGCCCGGCGGCGTGCACTCGTGCAACAGCGGTGAGGCGCAGGCCGTCCCTCACAGGTCCGCGTCGAGCCGTGCCTCCATGCCGAGCGGCGCGCACCCTCTGCAGAGCCGTCCGCCTCTAGCCAGCGCCGCACTCGAGTATGAACTCTGAACCGGCCGGGGCCCAGGCCCGGCGCCGCGCGGCCGACAGCTGATAACCGGCTGACGTCACGAGCGCAACCCTTGCGGCCCTGGCCGCGAGATGTCGCCCCGGACCGGCCGGTCGGCCGCGCGCGCCGCCGCCAACCCTTCCGACGCACAGCTTAATGCTAGCATTTCTATGCGGCGGGCGTCGCCGATCTCTCTCCGCGCGCCGCGCCGCGCTGAAAGAAGTCGGGCCGGCCAAAATGTGAGCCGTGGTCGCCGCCGGGGGACGCGGTCGGCGTCGGCCTCGGGGGAGCGGGCGGCCGGCGCCGGTGGCCGGCGCTGTCTCCGCCTCACCACGCTTCCGCCACGGTCTGTCGTCCTCTGAGGCGGCGTCCTCAACAAACGGGGCTCCTGAGACCGCCGGCTGGTCCGTCAGGACACAATGAGTTCGCAAAAGTGTGGAGCGAGAGATCACTTGACTAGCTAAATTGAGAAGCACTAGAAGCATCATTTCCAGTACCTGCAACTCTGCAGACATCAAAACTGCCTTCAGGGGCGTAATGGCCAAAAGTTTGGCGCCTTTGGCTCCCACGTGGGGGGGGGGGTCGAACCCTGGTCGCGCTATGACCTCGGAGCGCTGACATAGCCTCTGCATTCGCTGGTGCTCCATAAAAGGGTGCGCGTTGCGGTACGTCGCGCTCCCCTTCTTATCTTCTGATGAAAAGGATATAATTTTGAAATTTCACTCACTACACATATGTCAAGCTCCTATGCCGTGCCACCGGGGAGGGGGGATCTCTCCCGACATCCTTTTCAAAACCACCCGTCGGCCCCAGCTGAGCCGAGGTCGACCAGGTGACGCCTTGTCACGTCACGTCACGTCACGTCACGGCTCACTCGCGCCTGACCTGACGTCAGGTCACACTGTCGGGTGACGCCGGCGAGCCGTCTACCCGTGCCAGTTCGGAACCCCAGGCGGGGCCGCGTGCCGGCTGTTTTCTGCGCACCGTGCGGCCGCAGACGCGAGCGACTCCTCTGGGGAGCGCGGGGTTCGGCTGCCGTGCAACTTCGGCCCGGCGGTAATTAGCTCATCCATTATAGTCAGGGCACGGAGATTAGGGGCGCGCACGGGACTGTGGCCATGCCGGGCCCGGCTCCCGCCCGGTCCACCAGGCACGGACCACGCGGTACGGAGAGCGGGCGAGCACGGAGCACGCCGTCGCGCCTCACGCCGAAATGGTGCTACTGTCAAATGAGTGAAGTGTGGCGAGCGACGTCACACGCCAAGTGCGGTCCAGCCTCCGTTGTCTACAGCGAAGAAGAGAACCGGCTTGATGCGCGGCCGTGAGGTCAGATGAGGCGGCGTCGTTTTGCGCTCTCGGTAAACTCGCCGACGAAAAAAGGCAGGTCGGATGCCTTGTGGTACTAGGTTTCTCTCCGTAAACATGCTCTATGCACAGCCTAGGTGATATGATTTAGTATTACACCACAACATAGCCCCAAAATATCGGTTACTTTATGGCCTGCAGAGTCGGTCGTTGCCGAAATGGACCACCTGGGGTTTAGGTCTCCACAGTTATGATCACGCGGTATTTTTCAGTTTGCCAGGTCCGGAAGATAACAAGCTTAAGGTAACCAAATTCCAAAACTTCGAGCATTTTTGGTACTTAGGTACCAAGTCGGAGAAGTGAATATTTATCTTGAAACTCGGTATCGACGTAAATGACTTGATTTCCTAGAAGTGCACGTTCCTTGGGAATGTACTTTGGGAGGCTCGTCATAAGCATGGTAGGGATTGGAGATTATTCTTCGGAAGTTCTATCATCGCTACGACCATCCGCTGACTAATTCTGGGAAATTTTGCAACCGATTAAGTTTTAAAATTTAAAGAACCAATGTTTCTCAAGACATTTGTTTGGGTCAATAACGCTCTGCTTTTCAGCCTGAAGCTCAAAGGGTTGGAAAGTTGTCTTGGCACGGAAATAAATTATTTCATTTTTGCAATAAAGAGATTAAGCTACCGATTCTTTGACATTCTTGGTTCTGATGTTGAGAATAGCTCACTTTCCATATAGCAGGAAGTACTGATTAAACGACTTTATCAAGAAGTCCAGCAGTCATGATAAGCTGTCTTTTGCGGACGCCGACGTTTCATGACAGGGTTTGTGGCCACAAAAGCAGCACTCAACACTTAAAAGCAACGCTCGTGGTCATGATCGCTGCCTTGAAACGACGAGTAGGTTCTTTCATATGTCTCATGGTAGCCTGATTACCTGACTGCTAGATTGTTTTGTATCATTGCTGAATTAATCACTTCTGGTACGTTGGCAGCCGTTTATTTTATGCACAAAAGCGATGAAATACTTAAATTTAGAAACTGTAAGTCAGTGATAAAAAGGCCAACTTCTCATACATGCCTTTTGATCCCGTTTCAGTTAATGTGCAATGGTTAATGAAATCGAATATAATAAATAAATATAATAAATAATATAAGATATGTGCAACATGCATCTTTGGAGTCTCCTTATGTAAAGCACATTATCGTGCGCGCTTCTGTGAATGCGATATTGCTGTCTTGCTGGGCGCAGTACAGCTATTGCTGTGTCTTGCTGGGCTCAGTACAGCTATTCATTTGCAATGCAAGCAGGCACACGGCAGCTTTGGTTTTGCTGTATTGCTGCATTCAGCCCGAGTCTCTGCGGTGACCTAAGCGGTCGACGCACTTTTCATTACCACTGGGTATATTCGTTTAGGTTAATGCATGTTCAGCACAGAAGGCTTGATTTGGAGTATCGCCAGTCAAACCGAGTGCACTGCACGACAAAAACAATGTGATGCAATTTACCAGATTAGCGCTTTTACAATGTAATCAGATTTTCCATTGTCCTCTTGCAAAAAGCTTCCAGTGTTTGCCTTCGTAGCTAAACCGCAGCTTTTATCCTAAACCGCTTTCGGCGGAATCGGTTCCTGATCTAGGTCTTTCGCGCACATCAGACCTGATTCAAGCTTTAAATGTGCTGCTCTGAGTCCGGATCGAAATGAGCCAGACGAAGTGAGAGTCGGAGTCGAAACTGATTCGAACGGAGTGAAATCAAACGTAAGTCTGGTACCAAGGAGGGAGTGCTTTTGCAACCTTCGGGGCTCAGCCGAAACTACATCTGTATATTTTTGTATCCACACACGTTTCCATAAGTTATGCCGATTTTGACCATTAAAAAGGCGTGCAGAAGAGAAAAAATATACGCGCACTAAAAACTTTGTATGCTGCCGCAGACACGGCGATGCATACACATTTGCTATCTCCGCCAAGAGACTCAGTCCACCGACGCCGGCACCGACCGCCATCCATAGGCATCCAGTTGACACCAAGCCATTACAGATAGTACTTTTTCCAACGCTGTTCCGAGGAGCATGATGGGAATTAACCGTGAGGTGGTCATTTCACTGCTCTTTTCTCGCAATTGCGTCAAAGAATGGAGGATATACTGCTTAATTAAATGTTATAATTCGACCGCTGCCCTTCCTTAAGCAGTGTAGCAGTTCTACCGCAGAACACATACATACAACCCACTCATTCATGCCAGAATGTATGCGGTACAAATTTTACCCAGCGGTAAAACTTTTACATTGTTTGAGGGACACCAATGATCGAAGCTAGCATTTAAATCAACGGTATACATATATATATATATATATATATATATATAGCTTTCATTTTTTACACAATTACGATGAAATCGTGATCAAATAACTATCAAGAGCTTTTTCATCGCATGCGTCGCTGTTAAGTAGTTTCAAAAAATGCGCAGGGAGGGCTAAGATGACTATCCAACTGCCGCAAGAGTATTATGCGAGGTGTGGTATGGTCTGACGCTTGTCAAGCAGCAGTTTTATTCGACCTTCGTGATAAATCAGCATGACAATGCGGATTTTCGAAGTCCAGATACGAACAAAATTAAATAGGCCCATTGTCGTGCACTGTAATAGTGTTCAGCTGTCAGCATGTATTTTAGTTGTGAACCTCCTGTTCGCTGTCAAGTAAGACTACGAGGCTGGGTTACCAGAAGACCCGCGTAGATGTCGTTTTCACCATCATGGTGCACGGTACTTTGCCACTAGAGATACTCGGCGATGCTGCAGAAATGCGTGATGCTATGTTTGGTTGGTTTTTGCATGCATGCATATCTTGCCTGAAAATAACGACAAGCACGAAGGCTGACGGGTTCGACCCGAAACGTGAAAAAATCACTTTTTAGAGCGATGACTTGATGCGATGCAGAACAGGGTTGATCAAGCGCTCAAAAGTTATAGTGGACGCATCTTGCAACTGTAATCATAAACGATGCCAGGTTAACTCGGTTGCCTCATGCACGCACTAATAATTCAATGTCATGACCTTGTTTGGCCTTAACAAACCGGTATAACCTGTATACAAATATCCTACAAGCAAAGCGAACCGAAAAATAAGCACCAATGCAGCACGCATGCACCACTTGCGGCACAAACTAGGCGTATCGATGCTAAATTGCTTTCCATTTCCATGCTGTAACGTAACCTCGGACCAATAAATTAACTACAATTGCTTTGTACAATGTTCGCCAAAAATTATGTTCATGCGATGCCTCATACAATATTATTGGAGGTGTAGGCGCCATAAACGCTGCATAAAAGAGCAATGCAGCATGTCTGAAATAGTCTGACCTCTTACAATCCGATCCGTTTCCTCAGGTGCAATAACGACTGACGTCACCGACATCAGCATGGTGTATGTTAGCAGTTGACAACAGAGGTAAAACATGAATACGGTCAGCTGCTGAAAAAAACGGCACGATAGCTGCAAAGTTTAGCAGGTTATCGAGCAAAAAAGCAGGAGTTTAATCAAGCCTCTTAGCGTCCGGCGAGGGTTGAGCTATCTCTAGGTTATTTCAAGCTATTTCTCTGGCCCGAACAGGCAGTTTCAGCCAACGAAATCGCTGACTTTACACTGAGTCATGGCTCTGGCCATTGTGACCAGTGTTGCATAAA